GGGCGGGGGAGGGGGGGGATGGCGCAGACGCCCGCTCGCCCACTCGTGGCCCTGCCGAGGCCCCTCGTCCCCACCCAAGCTGAGCCCCCTGGCTCCCAGCTCGCTTCCCCTGATCAGATGACCTAGTGCCCATCTCCCGGCTCCGCCACTGATTCCCAAGCCTCAGTCGCAGCCTCTGTGGAATGGGAGAGTGTCAGCTGGTGAGGAGGGAAGAGACGTCAGGGAGAACCTGCGGAGAGAGGCAGGGCTCCTCACTGCTTGTGTCTCGGTTTGCGCATTTGTAAGATGGGAATGATGAGCTCTTCCTGGAACGCATCCACAGTAGGGCAGGGGCTTCACTGTGGTTACCGTTATGGTCGCTCTTGGGCCGCCCAGAAGCCCGCCTTCTCGCTCTTCTCGGGTTCTCTGCTTTTCCTGGGTTCTCCACTCCATCTGGGATACGGGAGGTTGGGGAAGGCTTGGATCGAAACAGTCTGAGGGTCTGAGAGTCGGGGCCTTGCCCACGGCTGGGGGTTTGTTCAGAGAGATGAAATTGTCTCTAAGGTCCTTTCCGTTTTCCTTCTGTAAAACGGGGTTGATAACATGTCCTCTGACAATCCACCGAGGCTGTAAAGACCACATGAGAAAAAAACCCGGAAACATCCTGTAATCTTCAAGTGCTGTCCGCATGCAAAGGACTGTGGTTATGATTTCTTTCAGGTGCCTCTTTGTCCTAAGGGAGTGGTTCTCAACCTTCTGGCCCTTTAAATACAGTTCTTCATGTTGTGACCCAACCATAAGATTATTTTCGTTGCTACTTCATAACTGTAATGTTGCTACTGTTATGAATCGTAATGTAAATATCTGCTATGCAGGATGGTCTTAGGCGACCCCTGTGAAAGGGTCGTTCGACCGCCAAAGGGGTCGCGACCCACAGGTTGAGAACCTAAGGGATCGAGGATTCGTCAAGAACTGAACTAGAGTTAGCCGCCGAGATTCAGAGGGTCCTGTAGATAAGACCCAACACCATCCAGGGAGAAGTGAGAGAGAGGAGAATATTGTATGAGTTGGGAATCTTTGGTTGTAATGACAGAAACTCAATTCCTACTAGGTTGGAAACAAAAATTAAAAGGGAAAAGAGAAATTAAGAATGGAGTGGCTCCTTTATCTTGGTTTCAAGGGTGAGTCAACTTCAGGCATTGCTGGATCCAGAGTCCCCAGTATGGTCTTTGGGCTATCTCCCCACTACCCCCACCAGTCAGTACTGTTTGCTTCTGCCTTGCTTTATGAATGGACCTCCTTCTCTCCCGTGGCAGGCAGGCCCTCTCCAGTCCCAGGAAACATACTCACATATTTACATTCTATCAGCTAACACTTCAGAAGGA